ACCCACACCATTAAAATTGTAATCAACCCCAAAAAAGTTAGAACTCCACCCAAGAAGTTGGAACCCCACTCCAAAAGGTTGAACCACAATCCCAAAATATTTTAACCCAACCCCAAAAATTGTAACATACGAAACACTACCCCAAAAATAATAACATACCCTAAAAAGTTGAAACTCAATTCATAAAAATTGTAATCCAACCTAAAATAAATTGTAACACCAACGTTACCCATCCTACAACCATATAACATACCAAATAATTTGATGAATTAAATATTAATTTGGTGTTAATTTGATAAATGAATATTTATTGGATAAATTTAATGTTAAATAGTTGATTTTGAATGTTAATTTGATTTCAACCAAAAAATGTTAATTTGATGAATTTTATTAGATGAAATTGAATGTTAATTTAGTGTTAATTAATGAATTAAATCCTTATTGTATGAAATTGCATATTACTTTCACGTTGATTTGATAAATTGAATTTTTATTTGATAATTTTAGATATTAATTTGATGAATTAAGTGTTAATTTGATAAATTGAATTTTGATTTAGAGTTAATTTGATGAATTCAAGGTTAATTAGTTGAATTGAATGTAAATTAGGTTAAATTAAATGTTAATTTAATGTAAATTTGATGAATTAAATATTAATTATATGAAATTGAATGTTACTTTGATTTTGATTTAATAAATTGAATCATTATTGGATGATTTTGAAAGTTAGTTAGATTAATTGAGTCTTAATTGAATGGATTTGAACATAAATTGGATGAATTGAATGTTAATTTATTGAATTTGAATGATAATTTGATGAATTAAATGTTTATTATATGAAGTTGAATTTGATTTGAAGAGTTGAATGTTAATTTGGTATAAATTTGATGAGTTGAATATTAATTGGATAATCAGTTTGGTTTTGATTTGATAAATTGAATCTTTATTGGATGATTTTTGGATGTTAAATGTTTATCTTGGACTATTTGAACACAAAATTAAATATTTTAAGGATTAAATTAAAAAATTAATATTTTCACGACCTAATTAATAAATATATATAATTTTAGGGATAAAAGTGTAAGTCTTCAATTGCTTAGCTATGACCGATCATCGCTTCCTAAGGTAGGTCATAATATAAAAAAAGTTAATTACACTTTTATCCTTAAATTTATATATATTTATGGTTCCTAATATATTAATTTTTAATTTTACCCCAAAAATATTCAATTTTGTGTTTAAATTGTCCCAGATAACCTTTAAGATCCAAAATCATCTAATAAAGAGTGAACTTATCAATCAAAATCAAAATAAAATGTAATTTAATCTAATTAATATTATATTCATCAAAATTACACCAAATTAAAATTGAATTCTTCAAATTAATATTCAATTTTATCTAATAGACATTTAACTCATCAAATTAATAGTAAAATTCAACTAATCAACATTTAGTTCATCAACTTAACATTCAATCTCATCTAATTGATATTCAATTCATCAAATTAACACCAAATTAAGATTCAATTCATCCATTTTATATTCAAATTCATTCAATTAACACTTAATTTATCAAATCAACATCCAATAAATATTCAATTTATCAAAACAACATTACCATGCAATTTTCATCCAATTAATATTCAATTCATCAAATTTGCACCAAATTAACATTCAATTCTTCAAATCAACATTTAATTTTACTTAATAAACATTTAATTCATTAAATTAACATAAAAATTCAACTAATAAACATTTAATTCATTAACGTTACATTCAATCTCATCTAATTTATATTCAAATTCATTCAATTATCATTTAATTCATAAAATTAACATCGAAAATCCTCTAATAAAGATTCAATTTAACAAATTAACACCAAAGTAACATGCAATTTCATCTAATAAATATTTAATTTTTCAAATAAATAACAAAATTAACGTTCAATTCTTCAAATCAACATTCAATTTTACCTAATAAATATTTAATTCATTAACTTTTAGTCAATCACATCCAGTTAATATTCAATTCATCAAATTGACACAAAAATTAACATTCAATTCATCTGATTTATATTCAAATTCATTAAATTAATACTCAATTTATCAAATTTCCATTGAAAATCATCCAATAAAGGTTCAATTTAACAAATCACCATCAAAGTAACATACAATTTCATCCAATAAACACTTAATTCATCAAATCAATACCCAATTAATATTCAATTCATCAAATTTATACCAAATAAACATTCAATTTCATCAAATAAACATTAAATTCATCATATTAACACCAAATTAAAATTCAATTCATCCATCTTTTCCTTTAATATTTTCCCTCCAATTCATCCAATTTTCTCTCTCACCTTCACTCAATGTCAGACACTTTCACGCCTTCTCTCTTTGTTAAGACCTCTCTCTCTCCACCATCGCCCCCTTCCCAGGTATATATATATATATATATATATATATATATATATATATATATATATATATATATATATATATATATATATATATATATATATATATATATATATATATATCTCCACGATCTGCCATCACCACAGCCTGCACACCATTATCATAGCCACCATTCCCTCCATTCTCTCCTATATTTAGGGCTTATTTGCAAAATTTAGAATTTTTGATTTTGATTTCTACTTGGGCTTCTCAGGCATTTTAGTTATTTCGCCAGCGACTACCACCACCGTTGACGACCGCCAGTATGCCACGCCATCGACACCCCCAGGTAATCGTTCAACCCCATCTCAATGCCATTCACCACCGTCTGCCACCACACGCTCTCTAATTGCTTGACAAAATGCTCACAAAAGACAAATCCCCCTCCCACCACAAAAGACACAGTCCTTCCCCGTTCTCAAAAAGCTTGACATCCCTTTCACTCCCTACCTCCATCTCTCTACTCTTCTCTACACTGCCTTCCACCAATGTCAACCACAGCGCCACCCACCATTGGCTAGTCAACCGTCCCCCCATCCAATCAAACCCCAAGACCCGCACCATCAATAACCCCACAACACAACACCGTCATAAATCCCCCAGCCCAAACCCCTAACCTTTACCACAACCCCAACACTGGTTAGATATTGTTGTGGGTTATGGATTTTGGTGAGCTCATGTTCTCTTCGCAACCCATAGGAAAACAGAGACCTACTAAGCCCACCAAAAAAGAACAAGAATAAAGCCTATGACTACGCTTGCCAACAGGCCTCAAAGAGTGTATTTCACACATTTTTGCCTTCCACTTTGTTTTTTGATATATTTGATTGAATTTTTAGATTATACGTGTGTATGTGTGTGTGTGTGCTTGTGTATTAATCTACGCTACCCTGGTGTTGGATTTGATTAATTACTTTGAATTGTAATACGAGTATTGCTTAATATTCCAATTTGTGGTTTTTATTTATGTTCAACGTAAAAAATCTCATTTTGTTGATTTTTAAACACTGGTTAGCTGAGGCTCACAAATTGCTTGATAACATAGCATTTGTCTTTGTATTTTTTGTTTGCATCCACTTTTGTGGGATAGTTGTTATTTGTTGGAGCTAGCTACGATTCTTGTATATGGGTTAGTGATATAATCTATATTCCCAACAACGGCTTGGGCAATTCATTACTTTTGGGGTTGTGCACATTCTATTGCTTAGTGGATTCCTATGTCTGTGTAGAAAATTATCAAGATTCATACTTTACTAGAGGAAGGTGCATATTGTCCAAATGCAACCAACTAGTAGTAGTAATATTGTAATGCATAGTGCTACATTTTTCTTTTTATTAGATGTTAGGCACTGTGCAATTGTAGCTTTTTTTAGTCATTAGGAATATCCATGGTTCTAGGCTGCAGGATCAGCTACCCATTTAGAGGCCACTAAGACAATCGGTTGTGGTGTTGTAGAATGCTATCAATCGATATACACGAAATGTAAGATAGTAGAACTCGAACATGGCAATAATTTAGCTTATATTGTAGTGTTGCGCAATAATATCGACCAATTTGGCGAGCGTGCCTCATACAATTAGACCGAGTGTGTGAAGGCTTGTGATTTACATAGAATATGGAATAGTATTGCCCAAGTGACACCTTTTGATCTCCAATTGTGTCTTCTAATGTATGGGACTATAATTCGTGTAGTATATTTTAAACTACAGTCTAATTTCTCTTTTAATTGTAAGTAGGGGTGTCCATGGGCCGAGTTACCCACAAGTCCCGTTACTCGGCTCGAAAAAAATAGGCCAGAAACCTGATAAGTTCGATAGTTTCCCCCGCCCGAGCCTGAGCCCAATATCCCTAAAAAGAGGGCTTGAGTTTGCCCCCAGACCCATTATTCGACTCGAAGCTCGGCCCAAAAGCCTGCCCGCCAAGGCCAACCACGCTCACATAGCCTGCCCATCCTTCATTTGAAAGAAACTTATACTTTTAGACCATTAAATTTGAAACTTATAAATAAATTTTTCAATGTCAAAATTTGAAGTTTTAAAAATTTAGATACTATAAATAATATATTATTTTATTTTTCTTGTATTAAGCATACAAGTTTTAAAAGGTAGAGTAATACAAATGATAGATAAGTGAGTAGGTGTCAATGTAGTTGAAATGTATTCATTCTATTGAATGTAGTTCATTCCCTAATCAAAAATAAAATTATTTATTATTTTATTTTTATCCATTTTGACTATATTTTTGATTCAAAAATATAATTTACACAAATATTAAGTTATAAAAATATTAATTATTTTTAAATGAAGTTGTATATAAAAAAGGCCGTGAGCAAGCCTGCCGAATAAGCTTTCGGGTTAGGCTACGGGCAATCTACCCCTACCAGAAGCTTGACTCGATCCGTGTTGATAACTCACTTGGATAAGGGTTTGGGCCTACACTACCTAGGTCTGGCCCGAAAAAAATTTGGCAGGCTTAGCCCTGCCTGGCCCATGACACCCCTTATTGTAGGTTGTCGTTATCATGAACTTTTCTCTGGTATGAAGCTAAGCAAAACGGAGGAGCTGTGTAATACTTCTTCCATACCCAAGGTCAGCACATTATTCTAATTGGTGAGGTAGTGACTTAAAAATCCTATTTTGTGGTCATTGTTTTCTTATGTTGCTTTTACTTCTAGTCATTTGGAATTTTGGTTGAAATATATCCCAAAAAGTCATTTTCGATTGCATCTTTCATTATGTGTTCCACTTATCTCACATTGCTTTACTTAATTCACGATTGGATTGCTTTTTTGTCCCTTATGTTTTCCTGTGTCGATATTAAAGTGAAAAACATGTATTTGCAGAATATTTCCAAAATAAATTGGTGGAGACCATACAGTTCATGTAAATTCTTAATTTGAAGGATAGTGTTGAGAAGGATACAATCTTCCGTAAGCTTCCAAATTTAGCAGAGTAGTTTCCTCGCCAAATTGTGCTGAAAAAGGTGCCTACATAATTTCTATTGGAGGAGGTTTTACTTTTATTTTGTTGTGCTCTTTAATTCATGTTCATCATCTTGTCCTCTAATTTTTGTAGTTACTTCCTTTACTAGCTTTGTCCTTAGATTTAGCAGCCCCTACTTTGACTGCATTATTGAAAATGGGTTCATGGCTTTCAACAGAAGAATTTAGCGTTAAAAGGTCATACTCCATAGTTTTTTATTGATGGTAGGAAAAACCAAGGACATCCTCAGAGTAAAAAAGCTATCACTTTAGCTCTTGTTCGATAATTAAGTGACTCTATTTCCTTATTAATTCATTCGATCAATTAGAAGTCTTGAGTGGCTAGAAGTTTTCTACTCTTGTGTATGGAAAACAAATGTTTTGATCTCCAAGCAATGCCTGAAAGCTTTTCGCTAGGACTAACTCAATCATTCTTTCAAATCTTTGCAAAGGCAGATCTTTGTTTCTTTTTATTGTTGAGAGAGATATTGCTCTTTTAACATTCTCATAGAATTGTTGATATCATGGCATTGGCTGGAAATAGGCTACTTGATCTTGAGTTGAGTTGGCTTAGTCATGTGGTTTACATTTTACCAATATATCATACAAGTTTTATTAAAAGAATGTTCGTGGATAAAGAAAGAAAAAAAATCAATTGGAAAGGCAGCATACAAAATGCTTTATAGTAGTTTACATTATCTCAACTTTATTGGTGGAGTTTGTTGAGTTGATGGTTATGAAGAGTTGATTTTGAACTAGTCCATTTGGGACAAATTTCAGGTGTGATACGGTTTTTGAGGGATATTAACTTGAACTGAATGCCGTGCTTTTGTTCTTCAGCTGAAAGTATATTATTAGCAATCAGTCCTTACCATTGGACCCCTATGAGTATGGAAGCTTAGGTAATTCTACCATTGTAAAAGGGACTTGGCTCAAATACCACATGAGCTTACATATAGGGCTTTAGATTACACAAGCAACTTCCAACATAAAAGGATTTAATACAATGATGTGACTACACAAGTACGGCATTAGAGTGTGCCCACAAAAAGAAATAAGCAGTGGGTAACTTACGACCTATATTTAAAGTTTGAGTTGTTGTGATCTTCTTGGAATAGTGTGTTTTGTAGAATTATGGATGACATTCATGAATATCTTCTTTTAAAAGGAGTTGAAGCAGTGGCAATTCATGGAGGCAAGGATCAAGAAGAGAGAGAATATGCCATTTCATCCTTCAAAGCAGGCAAAAATGATGTACTGGTTGCCACAGATGTATGTTAACAAATATGATGTTTGTTACAATGGAGATTTATTATATGATTTCACCCTACCAACAGATTAGTGGTACAAATGAAACTTTGAGATCCGCTGCAAAATCAAATAAATACACTGATTTGTGGCCAAGTGATTTACACTGTTGAATTTGCCAATGAAACGCAATAAGAACATTAACAATGCTTAGAAGAAAAATATTCATTAACAAGTTCAACTTTATTGGAATACACTTTGCATACAATTTATTATTGACCCAGTTTTTTTTTTATCAAGAAGAAAAACAATTTATACAAAGGGTCTTCTAAGTGTTCTCTCAACAGTTTAGAAGAGCAGGGACTATAATTTTAAATAGTTGTCAACATATAATAAAAAAAATAGATAAACCATTTAATATTATGGTTTTGAATTTCTTTTCGGTTAGAGTTCTCTTTGCAACTATAATACTCTTCTTTTGTGGATTTTGACATCTCTAAATACTTTACTTTCTCGCCATATTTCAAATTCTTCCTTTGGATGCCAAGTTCTTTCATTGATTGAGTAGCAAATGGTTGGACAACATAAACATGAGATGAAGACAAATAGTCATTTGTAAAGTGCAAACAAGCATTAATAAGATCATTGGAATAAAAATTAAGATCAACACAATATCATTTATAGCCCATCATCCAATATTTTTATTTTCTTCCCTTTGATTGTCTTCAAACAATACTTGCTATAGTGGAAAACAAGTATCAATAAGATCATTAAAGTAAACAATAAGATCTAGACAAATAGTTTAGCATTTAGATTAAAAAAAATCTCCCATTCGTAAAAAAGTTAGGTGGTTTTAGGCAAGGTGGCTTAATAGCTTCAGCTTCATCTTCCGAGTCATTTGATCTCTTATTCACCCTAAACATAAAATAAACCATTAACCAGAAAAATGGCTTCACCCTATAAATTACAACATTAACTAAAAAAATATTCACTTACATTATATCATTATATCTGAATGAGTTTAACAAGACTTGGATCACCAGTACAAAGGTAAGCAAAGCAATGGAGGATTATCAGAAGACAAAGTTGTGTGAAAAAAAAAGTAAGCAATGGATGGAGTTTCACACCACCTCGTCGTCAAAGACTCAAAACCTAAACCAAACAAATACATTTGTGTGGTGAAAGAGAGAAGAGATGTACGGTAAAAGAGATGGAGGGAAGGCAACAAAAGTTAAAAATGGTTTGGGTGGGAAAAGAGATTGAGGGAAGGCAAGAGAAGTGAGAAATGGTTTGAGCGGGAAAGTGGGTGGAGAGAGAAGATAAGATTTTGGTGATTTGTGAACCACAATATTAACTGAAAAATAAAAAAAATAATATATTGTAATTTATGGGGTGTAGATGTAATTTACATCTAGAAGAATTAAGACTGGCCTTAGAAATGGGCAACCGATCTGGGGTTGATATCACACTTTTATTCCTTAAATAATCAAAAAATTCATGACTGTAGTCCAAAAGTATTCAATATTTTAAAATAGTCTCACTTTTAAAAACCAAACTGTTTTCTGTTTTCTGATTGATTGAGTTACAACTTTGGGGGTGGGTTCAAACTGTTTAGGGCCTAATTTTTTGGGTTGCGTTCCAACTTTTCTTGATGGGGGTTCAACTTTTGTAAGATGGGGTCCAACTTTTTTGGGTTGGGTTCTAACTTTTGTGGGATAGGGTCTAACTTTTTGGGTGGGTTTCAACTTTTTTAGGTTGAGTTCCAACTTTTTTGGGTGGTTTCCAACTTTTGTGGGATGGACTCCAACTTTATGGATTGAGTTACAACCCTTTAGGTCAGCTTCCAGCTTTTGGGTTGCTTCACTTACAACCTTTTGGGATTGTTTCTTATCTTTTGGGGTGGTGGAGTTATTACCTTTTACGGTAGGGTTACAAAGTTTGGGGTTGGTTACCACTGTTGGGGTGGGTTCTAACTTTTTTGGGGTGTGTTTCAATTTTTTTGACAGGGTTCCTACTTTTATGAATGATTATGTTACAACTTTCGGGTAGATTTCAACTTTATGGGATGAGGTCTAACTTTTTTGGGTAAAATCTAACTTTTTTGGATTGGATTCTAATTTTTTTGGTACTAGTTCTAACTTTTATGAATGATTACAACTTTGTAGAATGGATTTCAACATTTATGGATTAGGTTATAACTTTTTGGGTTAGCTTCCAACCTTTGGGTTGTTTCGCTTACAACTTTTTGGGATTAGTTCCTACCTTTTGGGGAGAGAAGTTATTACCTTTTTGGGAGAGGTTACAATTTTTGGGGTGTAGGTTATAACTTTTGAAGGTGAATTTATCATATTTTTAGGTTATGTTACTATTTTGGTATGAAAATATTTAATTTTTTAGTGAAACCCATGATTACCTCTTTAGCAGGTAACCAGTATTCTCCATGCAAAACTCATCAACGACTAGAATTTACAACAATTAAATCAATGGTCTGAAATTTTTATCAATACCATACCGAAAAGCATTTTTCGGTATAGTAGAAGGACCCACTACTTATGCAAAGAAACAAGTAGGTTTTGGAGTCTAATAATTCTAGTGGCATTCTGAGATTAATCAAATGTTGTCGAAGACATGCTAGTGGAATTGTAGGATTTGGGTGCTCACGTGTACCAAAAGTGATTGTGGCAATATTTGTCAAAAACAAAATCTCACGTTTTGGTAAAATATGACATTATTTAGTTTGGTTGCAACAAAGTCAAATAGAATCATGCAAGGATCATTATGTTAAATTAAAAATCGAAATAGTGAAAACTTGATAAGTTTCACGACTTCACCAACTTCTTCATAAACATTAGATTTCTATATTATTGGGCACTGGAATTACCATCAACATTGCAAAGAAGAAAAAAGAAAAGACACAAATTGTGTCGCATGGTTTAAAAAAAATAAAAATTGCAAATTGTAATTTGCAACCCAAAAGGTGGTTGTATTCTCAATTTCCACCTTGAAATTCTCACATTGCACCCTTAATCAAACAAAAAGGTGTGCTCTACGCTCCATCCTAAAGAAAAATAGTACCAACACTTAAAATTGACTATTTTTTAAACAACTTTGTATAAAACTAGGATAATATGATAAACTAAGGGTGTAAAGTGTCATTAACAAAAAATAAAAAAAAAAGAACAAGTTGCACCTAATAGAAACGTAATGACAGGCGCGTCATTTCAATTTTTTTAGATGGCACGTGAGATATTCTAGGAGGCTCTTGTGGTATAGGTTTGGCCTAAAAGTTAAATAATAACATACCAAGTCCATTGGGCAAAAGAGGAATCAGAAGAAACTCTTTGTGGTGGTGCACGTTAGGTACTAGTACAAGTGTGCACAAGTGGTGATGTTCTTTGTCTACATGGTCTGGACTTAGTAAATGGGGTAGGTGCCTCGGGCTCCATCTCCTCTCTTTTGTCTTTATCTCTATGTGATAAAAAAACATAGCTAGCATAAGTCTCACATAGCTAGAGGTTTCTCAGGTGTCTTCTTCTGATTGGTGTTGAAAGTAACAACTCCCTCGCTTAGAGAAATACATGTGATAAGTGCACATAAAGGCAATCCATCTATCACTCTACCCTCATCATATGCTCTCTGAATGACTCCAAATCTCACTGATCGGAAATCAATATCCAAAATCGTCCCCATAGCATGTAATAAGTAGGCTCTAGATACTATGAAGGCAGAGAGATACATGAGTCTTTGGGTCGATGTTGTAATTGGTAATTTGATTCAAAATCCGATACTCCTTTGTCAAGTCCTTTTGATGGTTCCATCCATCAGGTTAAGGGGCATAGTGCAACTTGAATGCAATCTTAGAAAGCCTAGGTAGTGCACTATATGGCCAATGTGTATAGGTATCGTTAGCTACCCAAAGTAGAAGCAAAGTGGTAGGAATCAAATCAGCAAAAGTATCAGACAAAATCCCATGAACATAAGTAATGAGGTGCTCACTATCTACAATTGTCTTCCTAATGCGTGCATAAGAACACTTTCACATGTTCTCATTCGTAGTCTTGGGGCCATGAAGAGTGGTGTCACACCCCTAGTCTCAAAGTTTAAAGTAATAGAAGTATTCCTTACCCCGATGAAGTTCACTCGTTTCACCGTTACGGATCTGGAAGCATATTGTCTCCTACACAAATCTCAGTAATGTGGATCCTGGAAGTGCCTTCAACCCTAAAACACACATCCCTGTGCTATTTTTTTTAGTTGTTGGCCTGATTGCCCAAAGCAATCAATGAATAGGTTTAGAATGATGTGTATATTAGAGATCTAAAGCTGACACACGCCTAAAATACTCCAATGAAAGTCTGGTAGAGTGGGCTAACCTTGGCTAGGTGAGAAATATGGGGAGGGTCAAGTTAGAAGTGTAGTGGAATGAATATTAAATGCACAAAGTCAGTGATTATATAAAAATCACACTAATTCATTATATAGTAGATCCATGTTTATTCCATCATGTGCACACATTAACTGGTGAGCTTCTCATGGTCCTCACTTCTCACCCACATTTGGTTTCCCTTTCGATCACTGAGGTTACCTTGGGGAATGGGTGGAGTACTTGTTCTCTTCTCCCTTGAAGTTTTTGAATGAATTTTAACCTTAGGAGTAGAAGGAGCCTTTTTTCATCCTACCTAGTGAGCCTTTAGGTGGTGAAGAATTATTGGACTTAGATTCACTAGACCAACCCATAACCTTTGTACAGTTCAACACCCAATTTAGCATGAATTCAAAATGTCACTCAATTTGGCATAGAAGTCACTCAAGGTTTCATACTTTTGCATCCTCATGGTCTCGAATTGGGAGTTGTACTATAAAATCCGAGACATCTTTACTAACGGCACCTTCATGAAAAACTTCTAAGATGTCAATAGCTTTTTTGGAGGTCTCACAATTGGAGATTTTTTGGAACTCGGTGGGTGAGATGGCATCGACTATCACATTCAAGCCTTTTGAGTTCTACTTCATAGACTCGTACTCAATTTTGC